CTAAAAACCTATAGCATAAAACACTAGTCATATGTTATTTTAAGTAGAGTGGCTTGATCATCAATAAAAATGTAATCAATCTATTAACAAAAAATACCTTTCAATAGGATATATCCATCGATAAAAAATCAGCCCACCGACTTTTACTTCATATGAAAGGTGGATAACCAAATACATCATAATAGTGAAGAAGTTTTAAAGGAAGATTTTCTCTAAATGGCATAAAGTAATCGCGGCTCGATCCTAAAGTTTGTTAAGTTTTTCCATATTCATATATTTTTTACATAGAAATTTAAATATGTTACTCAATTCAGTTACCACAGAAGTGACTTACTTTGACATTGATGAACGTAAAGCAATTAAAAGTAAGTCTTGCATCAAAATATAATAATCATGTGACTTCAATGAAGAAAGTTCACTTCTTCAGATTCACATATCTCGATATATTTGATGTATAGTCATCTGAAACTTTGATATTTTTCAAAACCTTGTAAAACACATCTTTTTCAGCTTTAGAAATCTCAAAACAAGCAACAAAAAATTGATATTTGCCATTAATAAGCAACTTCGGATAAAGGTTTGGGCAAATCCCCATATCAATTAAGTCAAGCCGACTCTTTAAGTCATCTTTGGATCTTCTATTCACATTGAGAATTGTCCTGATAAAATTTTTGCAAATATTCTTCTCTATGTGCATCAAATCAAGGTTATGGTGTAATAAATTATATTCCTAATAAGATAACTCAAAAAAGATACTTCTTTTTTTTCACAACTCAACTCATTAGGGTCATCTATTTCATCGTCCTCTTCATCACTTTGAACATCAAGATCACTAACTTCAATATGAGTATCACCAACTTACGTAATACGTGACCAGACACCTTCAAAGATGTCTTTCACTATTTTTCTTGAAGAAGTCACTTTTTCATAAGTGAAATTGATATCTTTTAACTTTGAAAAGATATTAGACTCACCAATGGGTAAAGGCGATCTCATCAACTCTTCAGTTCCATCAAATAGATGATTTTGGAATATAAATCGATGATTATCATCTAACCATCAATGATGTCCCAGATAACAAAACTTTCGACCATTAGGTAACCACATCAAACATGTTTGTGCAGCACAACATGGACAAGCATAACGACCTTTTGTACTCCAACCAGATAAATTTACATAAGTAAAAAAATCATTGATAGTCCATAATAAAGTAGCACGCATATTGAAGTTCTTTTGTTTTGATGCATCATAGGTCTTAACTATTTCCCATAATTACTTTAACTCTTTAATAAGAGGTTATAAGTAGATGTCTATATTATTACCCAAACTTTTTTTTTCGAGAATTATCGTAGATAATAAAAATGACTGTTACTTCATAGTAATCCATGGTGACAAATTGTAAGGAATTAATAAAACTAATCAAGTACTATAAAAAGTACTCATCATTTTGAACGAGTTAAATCCATAGATGCTAGTCCAAGCATAACATTTCGAGGATCAGATGCAAAGTCTGAAAACCTAGAATGAAATTATTTTCATGCAAAAGAATTTGTAGGATGCCTCAATGATCTATCATCTGTTTACTTCTCATGATGCCACCTCATTGAATCTATAGTTTTAGAAGACATGAAATGTTGTTGAAGTCTTAGTATTAATGAAAAATAGCGTAAAATCTTAACAGGCTTCTTTTTGACACATACCTCATCACCATCCTCATTCAACCTTTCATCAGGGGTTTTGTCCACCCAATGAGAAATACCACACAAATGACAAGATTCTTGATTTTTTCTGTCCCCTAATACAATATGCAATCATTGGGACAACTATGAATTTTCTCATATTTGAGACCTAAATCCTTGATCATCTTCTTTGATTTCTTACAAGATTCAGGGATTTTTGCAAAAAGAAACATTTCTTTCATAAACTCTAACAATAAAGTCAGAGAGTTTTTCATCCATCCACATAAGCATTTTAAGTGAAAAAGATGAACACAGAAAGATAACCTTGAATGCTTCGATCCCTTAAAAAGTTCTTCATTCATATCCTCAAGCAACCTATAAAACTTTAATACTTCTCCTCTAGGTTATTGGTCACGTACACTTATCCCAGGTTCACCAAATTCATGCATTTCAACATTAAACTGATTAAATCTTTCATTTTGAGGAGAAAGATTACGAAAATGTTGGTTATGAATGTTAAAAGCATCTCGCAACATGCCTTCAATGTCATCTACTATAAAATGATCATGTTGGTGTTGGAGAGCCCTTGAAGTTGAAGGAACTCTAGTGGAAGACCTTGACGATACAGACTCTCCATGAAAATACCAATTAACATATCCCGAAAGAAATCCAATACAAATTAAATGTTCAAAAATAACTTGATGCATTTGTCACTCGATATTAGCACAATTCGCACATGAGCATAATAGCATATTATCTTTACTTGTATTCTCAAATGTAAAATTAAGAAAATTTTTCACTCCATCTCTGTACTCTTGACTTAATCTTGACTTTTGCATCCAACTTTTATCCATTTAGTAGCATTTTGATAACAAACGTCTTAAGTTTTATAAAAACACAAAAGTTATAGGTATTTGTAAGTGAAAGACCGCTACAAAACTGTCGTTAATACATCATTTTCTTATACGGTCACCTAATTAACCCATACAAATAATGGATCTAATCATCCAATAATTAATTTATGGTGAGAATGTAAGCCAAATTGCACTTTGCCACTACCAAAAATAAGTCATATATTAGCAAAACGCATCTTTTATAAAAATGTTATAAAAGTCACAAAGATAATAATCATTACAAGCAGCTTGCTTGAGGTAGTAGCAGTTTTTCAATGTGGTAAGGAGTCAAAGACCATTACAACCACGTTGCAATCTAACTTAATACCTAGTGGGGTATATAGCTAAATACATCAAACAGTTGGTGTCAAATTTTCTTTGATCATCAAATTGAGAATATGGAATTTAAAAGAAAAAAAAACTGTTCGGAAAATATTTTCTTGTTTATTTGCTGTGCGTTCAAGATTTAAATATAACCAAATTGTATCCTTAAACCCGTTAAATCTTGGTTTTGAAATGATAGAGATTTAAAGACGGATTTTAGTACTTTTAAGTACATTAACTTTCAGTTTTCCTCTTACCAAAATGAACTACAGTTTTTCATAGATTGAAAAAATGTTAATATGGCATATGAACATTTAGCTCATTTGATTGGTGCATGATGCCCTTACTTAAAAAGCAGGGTTGGAATCCTTCGTTCACCAACTCAATATATATATATATATATATATATATATATATATATATATATATATAATGAAGGAAGGATTCCAACCCTGCTTTCTAAGTAAGGGCATATATATATATATATATATATATATATATATATATGTGTGTGTGTTATTGTTACTCATTAATTCTTTAATTTCTATAAAACGAAAAAAATGTATTTTTCTCCACATTTTGTCTCTTTGATGTAATGTGACATTCATATTTGTTTGACTCGATGTTATGCATAACTATTGGCTCATTACTCATATTTAACCATGGATTAATTGAATTAATGAGGCATGCTGTTTTGTATTAATATTAATAATATTTTACCTAATAAATTGTTAAAATGAATTAATGAGGTATTTTCAAATGAGAAAATGAAGTTGCTAAAATAAAGGCAATGGAAAGTGTAGGATCATCTTTCTTTTCAATTAGCCGAAAGTGGACTGAAGTTGAAACAAGAAAGGGGCATGATACATGAGTAAAAACCATCTTTCAATAATAATGGGGAAGAGATAATTACTTTTTTCAAACAACTACCCAACTATTAAAACATTTAACAATTTTAGTATCATTTGTATGTGTTTTCAACAAAAACGTTGATTTTCTTAATGTACATACAGAAATATGCAGGTTGAATTGCTTGAATATCTTGTTTCCTGAATGATGATGTGGAGATCAGGACGAAGATGATCTATCGCTTAGAATTCGAGTTCGAAAACTTTAGACTTCACAAAATCATGGTTATTAGTATATAATTTATTCCGTTTTACAAATTCCCGTGTTGTGTTTTTCCAAAATTCATGAGTTAAATAATCAATTATTTCTTTTTCACTTCTTGTAAAAATTCACACGAATTTTGTTTTTAACCCTAATTTAAATTTCATTTGAACATTTAATTCAATGATTAACTTTTCTCTATTTAAAAAAAATCGGTTCGAATCTCCTTAGTCTCTTAATATATATATATATATAAACCTAATTTAAATTAAATGGCCATAGATGAACGGAACAAAAGTTGGCTTACACTTCTGGGAGTGATTTTCATGTGAGATATTTATGAACCCTAGCCTCCAACAGTGACAATTTTTTTTTTTTTCTAAACCAAAAGCACTGTTTTGCTCACTTGTATTTTCTTAGAGCTGAGCTGTAACAGTGATTGAATATCTAAGCCCATATCTGGAATTCACATGTTAAATCCTAGCAAACGTGCATAATTAATAGCATAAGCATGAAACAATTAATTGAGAAAACTTTCAGTTAATGAATATGTACAGAGGGGAATTTGCAAATCTTACAGAGTAAAGTAGGAAATTTCACACAGAGGTCAAAACCATGAAAAACAAAAAAAAAAAAAAGACAGATCCAAATTATTCTAAGAGAACCTGCTGGCTGTATCATCTCTCCATTATAGAACAACATAGACCAATATTAACAAACAACTATGTTTAAGCAAATTCAGAGAGAATAGAGTGGTTTCATTGATACTGTAATTAGGTTAATGAGATCTCCAAGCTCTCTGAGAAACCAAAATTACTGAATTCTAATCCGTTATAACTTGCACCAGGGTGAGTGAACGTGATCAACATGCAGTTGCAACCACTAAAAAACAAGTATAGAAGAAATACCCTGCAGTAGTTTAGGAAGATATGAAAAATAAAAAGGAACATAAACTTAAAGATATTAGTAGAAATTAAGAATTAATGATGCAGAAACTGTTGCAGGTTGTTGGTCTTCTAGGATGTCACATGAACTTCAGTAAAGCCACTCTTAAGTCCTTGACAAGATCCTTCACTGTCAACTTGAATTCAGCATCTTTCTGCAAAAAAAAAAAAGGGTATTGATTTTAATTGGTCATGTTGAATTCAGTTTCAGTAAATTGAAAGTTCCCAAGAATATAAAAGCTGTTCAAAATTTCTTTGGATAATTACCTGAGCAATTATGGTCATGTCTAGAGTGGAATTTCCAAAAGGCAAGACACTGCTGTTAACAACAGACAGATGAAGGTTCTCTATTTCGATTAGTATTTTCGCCACGAGACCTTTCTGTTTCTCGCAATGGATTCGAATGAGGACGTCGTCATCAGAGACTCTAGCTTCAATTTCTGGTAGAGCTGCATTAGATGACCGGCCATCGGAGTTCTCTTCACATGAAGAGGATTCGTTATCAGCTGATAGCTGAGATTTCCTGACGAAAACTACAGATTCCACTGTTCTCTTCTTGGTTTGCTCCTCGAGCACTTTCAAAGTTTCTTGAAGTTGTTTTACATACTTGATAGCATCTCCAAGAACAGAAGCTTTGTCCATCTTTAAACAAAATTTCTTGGTTTTAATCAAAGAATCCTGACAAAAAAAAAAAAAGAAAGAAAGAAAGATATGTGGTACCTTCTTCAGGCCAGGAACAATTGCTGAGAGAGCTATGAAACGCTGACTAAGCCTTTCTCTTCTCCTTCTCTCAGCCATTATGTGATCTTGAGCATGTGAAGGGCTTCTAGTCATTGAGCAAGTCCTCTTGATCCCTTGATTGATTTTTGTTGCATAATTTATGTTCTCATAAGGACCACTGGTGATCCGAGGCGAAAAGTTCATATTTCCTGAAGATACAGTCTCGTCTTTAGGCTTCACAGCCTTGTCTATTTTATAAAACTGCTGAGAATTGGCAGGCAGTGAAGTTGGTTTCTCAAAAGAAAGAATTTGAGAGGTGGGAGAGGAAGGTTTCTGTGGAACATGCTCGGTGGTTCTGATAGAGTTCCAACTACTACTAGTTTTGAGCTGTTTTGTAGGTACCTCGGAAGTTTCAATAGATGAACCACTAAAACTAGCGGTGTTTTTGGTGTTGAAATTAGGGTAAGAGGAATAGTTCTTAGAGGAAAATGATTGCTTGAGGTTCCCTCCAGCCAGGGCAGTCGCTATATCTTCTGCGGAGGCGAGTTCAGCTAAAGAGTTCATATGACATTGGTGGATGATGTTGTATTCATCCATTCCCTAGAAATTCAAAACCCCAAATTAGAAAAGTTAAAAGAAAAATATAATCACAAACAACAAGGAAATATTAGTGTTGGAACTATTAGTAATCTTACAAATTCAGATAACCATTTTGCTGACGAAGAGTCCATTGTTGTAGGCAGATGTGAATAAGATTATCCTGGAAAGATCAAAGACGAAAGGATTACCTATTTCTAGTAATAATGAAACTGCTATAATTATCAGCTACCCTTTTCGTCTGCAATGGCTGAAAACTGAAAACAGATTTCCCCTCTCATTCCCTCTTATAGTCGTGTGTAATTCATCAAATTCTTCTCTAAGCCACGTCTGAAATTTTTGTCCTTATCCTGAAACCATTATTCAAATTCAAGGCTGATGCTCTCTCTCTCTCTCGAATTAGATGGAATCGTGGACACTGCCAAAAAAAGAAATTGTTCATAAAATAATCCCAACTTGATCCAAGAAGTGATCGCGAATCGACAGGGAGCACGAAAAGAAACAATATATTTTCTCTCAGTCAGCCAACCAGGGAGCAGAACTGAAATAATATTTGAATTAGTCATTGTATTTCCTGTCAAGATTTTTATAATTTGATTTTGATATTGTTTGAAAATTATGGCCTAGAAGAACAGGGCTATCACAAACATCAATGCTTACCTGCTTACCATTAAAGCTTCCATACCCTGCTCTGGTTATCTCATCTAAACCAATTGGTGGATCCACTCCAGGATGTGAAACCCATCACAATAATTGCCATTTTTTTCCTTTTTAATTCTAGTCAGTTTCTCACATGTCATATTTCTCAAGCAAAGACAAACAAATCAGATCAGATACATAAGCCAAGGACTTGCTTAGAAATTTTTTCATGAAATCCAAAACCCAGCATTTCCGATCAGTTGAATCACTTTCACAATCAAAAAACTTGTCAACTTGAGTGAGACATACTTGAAGCAAAGCTTGTAGGAGGCTTTTTCCAATGTGAAACGTAGTACATTGTTGGAACCATTTGAATATTTGTTTGAGGTAATTGTTAAAAAGATGCAAAAAATAGACGGAATTAGTACGAAACACGTGATATGGAAACTTCCCTACAAAATCATGGTATGCAATTGATAGTATTAAACTAAATTACGGGAAACAAAATCCTTTGAGATTTTAGAGAAATTTAGTTATCATTTTTATATTTTCAAAAGCTTTGCACATTTTCCTTTATACATCATAAAGGATAAGGAAATTTTGTAGAAGTCCAGAAGATGAAATGCGCCAATTGATTTAAGACAAAAACGTAATTTTAATAAATCTCTTTGTACGCTTAAGTTATGACAAGTTAATTAATGTTTTTATTATTAAAATATCTTACAATTTGAATTCTAATAATTGAAAATAAAAATGTAGTATTTTATCAATAAATTGTGTTATTGTTGACAGCTAATTAATCATTTTAATCTTATTTAATATATAACAGGCTACCTTTAATTTGGCTAATCAAACGATGTAGATGGATAATTTACTACACAAAAAGTATTAATTCATAAGCTTTACCATTTTTTCTTAATTTTTTAATGCATTTGAGGACTCCAGAGTTAGATTTAATACAAACGGAACAAGTTTCATTAGTTTTTCGATTAACTAAATAATAAAATTAAATTAATTTTATACCTCACAAAATGAAACAATGCATTTCAATGAAACTATATACATATATATGTTTGACGTTCATTCAATTAAATTAATCATGAATCAAAATTCACCTAAAATTATTTTAAAAGACCAACCAAATTTATTGGATGACCAATTCATAAGCCAAATTAAATTAAATAATTATTAAATAATTGATTGATTAATCAACTTAAATTAATTCGATAAAATAACACCGTTAAAATCCATTTTGAACATCACTAGTAACTAGTATTATTAAACAGGGTTAAAATTTACCTAAAAACAATGTACTCGTTCTCGGCCAAAAACAATTAATTAACGTATATTATTAAATTTCAATAGGGACAAAATGAAAACTTTCTTAAACTTGTAGTATTTACATGATAAGTAACACTAAAAGAAAGACTTTAGAATTTCAGTCAGCCCCCATTGTGAATCCTGGATACAACAAATCAGTGCTGGCTAATCTTGCGCTTTTTGGCCATCCTCCTCATCCGCTCCCGCCGCTCTTCTTCTTCTATCAGCCTCAATTGTTCTTCATCCTCCTTCCTTGCAATTTTAGCACTGTAAAAAGAAAGAAGTAAATATATAATATAATATAATGAATAGAGCAGTTTCAAACATCTATCTCCTTTAGTGTTCAATGAGACAGTTCTCTACATGCAAATGCTTGCATAATGCTTTACCAAAGAAATGAGATTTGGGAAATTTTACTAACCTCCTTCTTTCCTCCTTCATAATCTCCTCCCAGTTTGCCTCCATGTCACTATCATCATCATCATCACAGACTGGATATCTATCGGTGCTGCAACCAAGTAATATTTTAAATAATAAGAAAAAAATTCGAACCATTCAAATCAAACTACCGAAAGCAACAAAGTTATTTCCTCTTCTGCTCAAGAACCTAAAATAAACCCAATACACATCCAGATCCAGTTCATCCATTATTTGCTAAAGAAAAATCTAAATCCCATTTCATGGCATGTTGGCAGAAGTGTGTGCTCGTTTGCTGCAAATAACAACTTGGCTTACCATTTTTTGAAATCTCTTGTGAACAGTTATAAAAAATAAAAAAGTATATCAATAAAGGGGCAAGAAGGGAGAAAGCATAAAAGGAGAGAGGTCCTACTGGAACATGTTTCTGATCATCATTAGAGCCTTTTCATCTTCACTTAATTGCTTTTTCTTGGGTCGCAGAACATTTGATGTAGAATGAGAGTGAGATGAAACTTGCCCAACTGGCTTTTTTACCTGTAAAAATTTCACAAAGGGCATAAATAAAAACTAAAAAGTGTATTCCAAAGATACCGACAAAAGCAGAAGCATTTGTATAAGACTAAGACCTGAGGCTTTGATGATATCACAGGCCTTTGGGGCATGATTTTATCCTTGCTACATTCTTGTGATCCCTTTTTCAGTTCAAACTGCTGTTTTGAACCAGATAAATGCATCTTCGAAGAATGTGATTTGTGAGCACTGGGTGGGAGATTTCTAGCAGCTGGTGCAGAAATCCTCCTCTCCATCTTTGCAATAGCCACCTTTGAAGGCACACCTTTCGGCCCAGGAGGCCTGACAGGCTCGATACCATTGCTATAACCAACAGGACGGCCTGACTTGATTCCATTGCTAACACCCACTGGACGGCCAGGCCCAATACCATTAACACTAACAGGCCGGCCAGGCCCAATACCATTGTTAACACCTACCTGCCTTCTAGAATCTATTGATATCATATATGGTTTACTGGCAGAAGAAGACTTGTAGGAACCAGCTTTATGCATTTGACCATTCAAAGGAACTGGTTTCCTTTCTTCACGAATGCCTTGGATATTTCTACCACTATTGCTGCCCAATGATTGTTTGCTTTTTGGTGGCATTTGAGCTGATCGTGCCTCTTGAAAATCAGCAAAAAACCTGTGTAAGTTATCTATGTTTTAAGCTTCACAAACAAACAAAACAGATGTGATGCAGTGAAGTAGTAACCTACCAGAAGTTGGAACAGAAACATTTCGAGGTGGAGGCTCTTTTGCAGGAGCTGGAACCTCTGCATTATCTGATAGAAATGAGTAATCTCTTGCAACCTTAAGTTTCTCAGCTTTCTTTCTGTGCTGCATTATGTCCAGAATTTGAAAAAAATTCACTATCACAGACCATAGGTCTTTCAAAAGGTAAGACCAAATTAGAAATGCTTAGAGTAAATACCTCACTTGTAGCTTTGGGTGCCTGGCCACGTTGTCCAAGCTTTGGTCCAGCACTGTTTGAAGCAGAGTTCTTTTTACTCTACAAGAAATCACAAGGTTGTCAATACAAAATATTCAAAGACCAAATATATTTTGAAATATATGATCTGCATTTCAAAAAAAATCATAATCTAAACTATAAAATAACATGTGAGCTACTATATGGCCTCAAACTTCAAATGGCACAAATTTTTTCATTTATTTTATTTGTAGATAAATGACTATTTGGAATAAATCTTTTAAAAATAATCTATTAACAGGTAACACTATGGGCAAATACAAAAAGGTGCAGAATTGGTCTTGAAATGCATCTATTTGCAAATATCAAAACCTGATTCGATCTCCAAACACTAGGCAGCATACCCCATTGAAGCAAAAACAATTAGTTCAGTTTCAAAACTTATGCAGATTTTAAAACAGTAAGGTTATAGCAGCATCCAATGGAATAAGCGACAACCACATTGGGCTGGCTGGTTGCATCATATTAGAGTTTGCACAGCCATGAACATCACTAGCATTGAACACAAACAGCATATAAAACAAGGATTCCACATAAAATAAAATAAAGAAAAGAAAGAAAGACAAGTGATACTTACAGATTGATTGGAACTCAACATCTTTGACACCAAATTCTGGTTTTCTAATAATGACTTGCTCTCTTGGATAACTCTTTGAGCAATAACTGGCTGAGAAGGGCCAAAGAAGGATCCAAAGCTGCAGGAAGACAACATTTACAAACTTAATTAGAATAATTAAGGTTATGAACCTGGAATAGACACACTTTGTAACTATCATACAGCATAGAAGAAAAGCTTCTTTATGTTCTTACCTTGAATCCAGAAATGTGTCCAAGTGTCATAGAACTTCCCTAATGGACAAATGGTTCAGAAAAAGAAACATATCACTCACTTGTTATATGGAAGCCTCTTCTCTTGAGAAGAAAGTGCAGCAGCACTTTGTTTCCTCTTTCGTTTGATAGAATCTTTCAGCCGCTGCCTTAACTCTAGATATTCCATTTCTTCTTTTGTAGGCTGCCTAGCTTCCTCTTCTTCATATTCCTCCCCCTCTTCGTCCTCAACATCTTTATCTTGATATTCACCCTCCATGTCATAATCATCGTAGTCTTCAACTTCCTGGACAGGAAAAAAAAGCAGATATTAAAAACAAAATAAAATCTTTAACAGAAAAAGTACACATTCAAAACCCTTCATCATAGCAAAAACTCCACACTTAACAACCCTTTGTATAACAGCAAAAAATTCCTCATCATGCAGACTAGCAATAGAAACTTGCACATAAAGCAACCGTTTCGTTTATCATTTTCGATCAGGTTCGAAGCAATCTTATTTTCCTGGTTTGATTCGAGTAATTAAAATTTACATGACGAATATTAAGCAACTTACCTCTCTATCATATCCCCTCATTGCTGATTACAATCTTTTCGATTAACTTATCACAGGAGCACCGATTAAGAATACCGCTGCTTATTGTCTTGAATAAACTTGTTATACAAGCACCAAAAAAATACTGGATACCTGAAACATTAAAAAAAAAATAATAAAGATTAATGATTGAACGAAAAGGAATGAAATTTGAAAGAAAATTAACTGTAAAACAACTTTTTTTGCTTCTAATATAGTTCAGATCTTAACATAAAGCCAATTGAAACCTTCTTTTTTAAATGATTTTTCTGAAGATCTTTGCAATTAAAACTCCTAAATTTCGCAGATTATTGAAGGATGAAAAAATATCCAAAGCACACCAAAAAAAAAAAGAATCAGAAAACGAATAGCGATCAGAAGAAGTGTAAATGATTAGGCAAAACTCCCCATTATGGCCGAAAAACGTAAAATAAACCCTAATTTTCCAAAAAAACATATCCGATTACACAAAAGTTAAGAAACCCCCAAACGAATCTGTCAAAATCTTGCTTAAGATCAACCAACTTCGCTAACACCGATTTGTTCAATCCCAACCAAATCGCTTTAAAAATAGGCATAAAAGCGTAAAAAAAAAAAAAAAAAAACCCAAAAATAAATAAATCGAAATTCATACATGTGATAGAATCGGCATACACAACCTGAAATTGGACCGAAAATCGACGAAATCCAGGATTTTTCAAGCGAAAATCCAAACCAGCACTTAGAAATAGCGAGACTTAGGAATCTATTCCGCAAGGAAATAGAGAGAGAGCGAAGCACAAATCTTCGATCTTCACAGCTACTATGGGAGGAATTTGAGAAGATAGGTTTAAATAAAAGGGGAGAAAGGAAAGCTCCCAGAAACAAAGAGATCGGTTTCTATCGTGCGCTTTTGGGGACACTCAGTTTTCCGAGTTTGTGAGGGATTTGGACCTTTGGAGTTAACTCGGTCAAGTCCAAACGGTGCGTTTAATGGATAATGAAAACAAAATAAATAACACCGCAGAGGCGAGAAACAAATCAGCATACAAACCCAACCCAGGTAAGTTTTTCTTTTATTTATTTATATATATGCAAAATTTTCATAGTAATTTTTAGATATAATTATCTTATAATCCAAAAAATATTACAAGTATTTATATAGAAAAATTAATCATTTTTTTTGTTTTGAAAATTAAATTTTACTTGAGGTTCAGCTTTTATACAGAAGGTAAATAAGCAGTGCCAGGAAGATGCTCGATTATATGCTTCAAGGAGTGTTCTTTTTTTATGATTTATTTGCATGTCTAAATCTTTGAGACAGTTTCATATTGGAAATTAAGTTAAAGTTTTTTTTTTTTCCTGCAAAAAATGTTGCTTTATACCCTCTTTATGGTTTTGGTTTAAGATTCATTATGACTACTCTTTTCAAGCTATTGTTTTCTGCGGACAGAAATGGAAAGTGAAGAAGACAAGAAATTAGAAGGAGAAACAAAGGAGAAGGTTTTCCAGATTTTTAAAGATTTTTTTACAAGGTAATCGGAAACATAAAATCTTATTCAAAATTATTAAACTTACTTTGTTTTTAGACATTGGATTTTGCTATTGTTCTTTCCTTAATTTGCTTTAGAATGATTAAATGGGCACTTGGGTATGGAGTTAGATTCACATATGTACGATGCATTTTCGTTTTCTGTAGAAATTTAAAGTTATGAAGTGGTGGGTTTTCATGGAATTGCTAAATGGTGGTTTGGGAAATTGCAGGGTGGCAAAGCTTGATGAATTGGTGGCCGTTGGAGGCAGACTACTTACTGGCTTTCAGCAAGGACTAGGTCAGTGCTTTATATGCTTTTTTATTCATTGCCATTGTTAGGATGTTGTCCTTGCTAGTTTCTTTAGTGATAGTGTTTTCTCAATTCTCTTTGCAGAGTTTCTTCGACGCCCTCCAATAAACAAGACATCCAAGTTGATTGAGAACATTATTAAAGCCAATGAAACAAAGAGATTAAAGTCATACTTTGAAGTAGGTTGTATTACCAGTCATGACAGTGTAGAAAATATGAGCAAGTGTAAGTACTTTTATTTTTCATAGATAAAGCATTATCTGGTTGATACCTGGAAATAGTGGGTACTTATCGTCTTCTGTCACTGTTTCATGCTATAATTTGTTAATATGACTATAAGGTATGTGACTTAACAATTTCATCTATAGGAATAAAACTCGAGATTATGTATCACATGCTTTCTTCCAGAGAATCAGTAGTAACTTACCTTGTGCAGACCCTTCTTATTCTGCTTGTTTTATATGGCTTTTGTTCTTATGTAATGGTCTTTCGAATCAGAAGTGCGCACATGCCTACTTGGACTACATGATCATTTAATTAAAGGTAACATTTTGTTTGCAATTTTACCATCTATGATTGTATTTTTATATAGTTAATATGTTTTTGAAGGGTGCAAGTGTTTGCAATTTTCTAAGTGTGTTTTATGAGGTGATTATTGAAACTAATATATTTTAAGTAACAACTTGTGGGGTGCAGTCAAAAGCTTGCTGAATGATCTCAAATGCCTCTTGGAGGATGCCACAGCTGCATTGCAAACGGCAAATGAACAGTTATCTCCCTTGTTGGACAAGGAATCTGTTGAAAGATTAGACCCACAAGAAAATAATGGTGAAGTAGGTTTTGTGCTTCAACTCTTTCTATTCTTTGTAAAAGATATGATTTGTTGTTTCTTTACTCTATTCATCTTTCACTCATTGCAGTTACGTTTCCATATTACCTGCATAGGAAATATTAGTGGTTGTTAATTTTTCCTTCTTTCGCTACGAGTATTTAAGTCTTTGAATGCTGCAGATAGTGTCTTTGTTTTTATCCTTCCTACTTAAATCTCTTTCTATTTAGAGCAGATTTCTTGTTAATGATTACCAATTTCAGCACATAGACTCACCCACAAAAATTTTCCAATTTGTTATTTCCCAATGTCATTATGCTGCCAAAACTTTAATGATTGAAATAACCTTGCACTGGACCACCTATCCAAACCGTAAAACATCCAACAAGAATAGTGGCTTAAAGGAAAGGCATTCAAATTTTAGAAACTTTTTCTGCTAGAGAAATATCCAGCTGTTAATATTGTGATCATTCGTACCAAAGACAGTAGAGCTATAATCTTTTTTTTTTTCCATTAATAGTATTCCACTTTTTATATCGTTCTGCCTGCCACAATTGGTTATTGAAATTTGACTGTCTTGCTGAAAGTTCGCTTTTCCTTTAGGATGAAATGGCTTCATCTCAACTTCAAGAACCTCAAGTGACAGATTATGCTGCCCTGATGGGGATCATTTATAATATGGTGAAGCAGGACTATGCGATGCAGGTAAACGGGCAGTTCAATATGTACTATCATACTTTTGATGTGGAAATAAACCATTCCATTATTAGAGATAAGAGTCCTTGAACAATTTCATTTTTCTTTCATTGTTTTTCTATAGAACAGTGACAAAATATCACCCTCCTATTGCAGGAAAAGATTGTTACTTCTCTAAATCTCAAGTCATCATCAGGAGAACTAGAGAGCTATTGCCTGATGTGGTCTTTGCGACCCTACGTAAATGAACAAACTATGCATCTAGCTTGGAAACTTGTTCCTTGAATTTTATCACTTTTTTAAAGAATCCGGACTCGTTCTGTCAGAAAAAAATAGAAATATTCTGTATCAAGGACCCTGCTTCGCTATGCATATTTGGTTCTTTGTAGCATGGAAATGAGCCATACGCTTATATACGAACCTATAAACGTCCATTGTGTACAATTTTTTTTTTTTCAAAACGAAATGCTGCTGTGAAATGATTGAATACAATGATTATCCTTAAGTCCCTTGCATAAGCAAATATGTCTAGGTAATCAAGACCTAGGCTCAAGTTTTGACATTTCTTTTTCCTTTTTCAAGTATTCGAATAATTCTAACTTTTGATTGATTCTGTTATCCAAGTGCTTCCTCGCACTTTTTTAAGGTGATTTAGAAGGGCCTCAACCCGGCTACAACTGAAGGCAGGGCAGGGCACATTTTTATTTAAACAATGAACTATTTTAGTATCAAAGCCTGAATGATGATAGGTTAATTCATCTGAAGTGTAGATAAAGATTAAGACAGCAGAAAAGTCATGGCCAAAAAGAAAAGGGCTACTTCATTTAAAAATTGAATGTGGAGTGACATAAGAGACAGACCATTTTATATTTGAATTCGAACCCAATAAATGGCTACTACATCTTTATATTACTAACCAACTCTTATTGCTCTCACATTAGATCATTTTATGCGCAACTGCTACCGATAATTTCTTCCCTTCTTCGTTGGTTCAGAATTAAAAGTTTGGACTAGCAGCAAGAACTCATTCAGCCTGTTGTCCTTGCCAATAGTGTAGTTTGTGAAGGTCTCAAAAGTTCCTGAACAGGCCGGTCAATTTCAACAGTGTGTCTTTGTATGCCTTCTTGTCAGCCCACTGCAATCTCAAAAACCAAATACATTTAAATGGACAGAAGTGCCAGTAACCTAATGAAGAAACAGTTTGGTCAACATTAAGCTCTGAAAAGTTGGAAGAATGAACAACTTACTGTGTTCTCTGGATGCAGGATTTCTGAAGGCATTCTCTCAATCTCAGTAGAGATCTCTAGACCAAGGACCTCAGTTTTCTGGTCTGTTGCATTCAAGAGGCTACCAGAGAGTATGCATGGCATCAATGATTTTGCGAGTGTATGGTAACTTGATACGGTTTCCAGAGCCATAGCTGTGGAAAAACCAATAGTGAATTGCTTCAACTTTTCCAGGAAAAGTGTTAAAATGTTACTGTTCCAAAATGGCTCACAATGAACAGCAGTTACCTTCCACCAGACCAGCCAGTGTTGAAAAGCCATCTTTTGCCCCATGCTTCTGTATTTTCTCGGCAAGCATGGCTGCATCCTTAGTAGGATGCAACATGATAAATGCTGCGCCAAAGCAAGCAAGCTGAGAATGTTGTTGTTGGCTCCTTTATATCTTCTTCTGTGCCATTTACCTATATGTATCATCAATCAAGTTCAATTGCAGCCTTATATGAGCAATAAACTGTTGCTCCATAGGGCAAAAAAAGTGACATTGAAACATACCAAAGCAGTGTAGCCACTAATGAAATGGCACATGGTTTGTGTCAGACTCAACTTGCTCACAGGTGGAAGGACACCAAAGGCATTACATGCCAAAAGTGTGGCATTCTTAGGGCGTGGACCTACGCATGTTATCTTAGCATTAGGAATGTATTCGATGGGGTAGGCTGCACGAGTGTTCTTTGTAATCAAAGAAAATCATATTAAGATCATGTGTAAGAATAATTCACGACCAGATTTTCTTTATTGAGTGGTACTTCTGATGTATATAAGACTCCCTGATTGTTGATAAATATCTGTCTCTAATTTGTCCCCATAATCCACCTCTCTTTTATGTTCATCAAACACTAGGTTTTCCAACACTGCAGAAAAAAAAAAAAAGAATTTAAAAGATCAAACTGAGAACTATGATTTTATTCCAGGTAAAATAATCCAAGAAACAGAGAGGATATAGAATTTCTCCAGTGCCATATTGCAGCCAGAATATAAGGATAGGATTTGACGCATAGGCATGAGATAATGCATAACACTGAAAAGACCCTTCTTCATTTCCCCGGTGTACCGAGTGCCGAGGATGACCATTTCCCTCCGAGCAAGATTTAAGGTCTATGCTAGTGGAGGATGTCATGTTGTGTGTATAACGATTACACTAGCACTGTCCAGCATTGCATACAATAAAGTCTGGAGTACCCAAATTCTCCAGCTCTTCAGGAGTTTGTCGGATACACCTGCCACACACCCACTTATCCAATTGTACACTAAGCTTTTACCATTTTTTTTTAACATTATTCCTCCATAAAGTTCTATAGGGACGATAAAACTCAACACATGATACATATAATTAACGTCATGACGACGATGGACTTATCTTGGATAGGCTTAGACCTTTGAAATAACACAAACAAAAACGGCTGATAAAATTCAAAAATTGCTTAGCTTTTACTTACACGTGCATGAGCAATGAATGGTAATAAGCTCTAGCAGAGACAATCCGAACTTTGATTCTGTTTTGTACATCCCAGTTCAAGAATTGATCATTCACCAAAACCCGGAAATCGTTTACATCCAATCACCATCAATCAGAATTCATATAGATTAATAAACAAATAACTGCATAGGATTACAGTATTAGAATTTAGAAATAATATAATATTTTAATTATTTATTTACTTTTACTCGAGACAAAGTTGCTTCCGCCAATGGATTTGGATGCCCCTAGGACAACTTGTTGGACTAAAAAGAAGAAAATGATGCCATAGAACCATAAAACCCCTCATCTACTTCTTCCAAAAGTAATTACTACTGTTAGGGCCTTCTATTTACACAATTACACCCCTAATATTACTTTATATACTAATTTTGTAAATAAACTCTTGATTTAAAATTTAAACTCAAATTTTTATTTTTTACACTCATATAATTATTTTATTTTAAAAAAAAAATTGTATCCATTTCTCATTTCTCTTTTTTTTTTTTTTTCATTTTCTCTTTACAAATATACAAATCTATAGGTTTTTAAACATTTTTCCTAATGTTTTGTTCACAAAATCTAACTTTTTCTTCTATGATCTAACTTTTATTATCTGATTTCTTAATTTGGTTTTAGACCTAACATCAAGAATCTTACAATCTCAATAATGTCAAAAAAGGTGAATATAGAAAAATAAAAAAACTCTTCCAATCCATCTCACATTGCCCTTTTTTTCATTATCTCTCTATAGATATGCAACTTCGTAAAATTTTAAAAATTTTTCCTAACGTTTGGTTCGTGAAATCTAACTTTTTCTTCTACAATCTAATTTTTATTATCTAATTTCTTAATTTGGTTTAGAAACTTTGTCTAATATCAAGAATTTTACAATCTCAATAGTGTCAAAAAAAAAAAAAAAGATAAAAATAGGAAAATAAAAAACTTCCTCTCATTGAGAATTTTTTAGACTCCGAAGGAAAAATGAAATTTTTACTCATTTTTTCTCACTTAACTATATTTTTAGATTTCATAAACAAAGTTATTTACTTTAAAAAATGTAGTAATTTTATATTTTGCTTTTATAGGTTCAATAAAGAAGATGTATTTAAGATAAAAATATGATTTTTTTAAAAATATATTATAAAAAATTTATTTTTCAAAATTTAACATAAATGATGTTTTTAATAGACTTAATAATTCATGTTTTTTATCGTGTAAAATATTGAAATTCATATATTCGCATCATTTTTTTTACGAAAATTACATGTCACAATTAGTATCTACATAAAAACATAAAATATATTTTTTTAATTTTGTTAAACTCATATATAATTATTATTAAAATTTTAAAATGTATCATTTTTTTTTCATATTATATTTATGTTATACTACTGTATTATATTTTAAATTATTAAATCTAATTTTTTAAGATAAGAAACTCTATTTTTATCAAAAATATGAAAAAAAAATTCAAATTTTTTTAATTTCAACAAAAACAATATTTTTAAAATTAAAAACATAATATTTATCAAAAATATATTATTAAAAAATTACATATATTACATATAAAATGTATTATTATATATTTTATGTGTAACAAAATCTACAATACTTTTACTTAAATAATTTAATAAAATATTAAATGAATAATTTACATGTTAAATAAATAAAAATTTTAAAAAATCAGTTATTATTCACATATTATTCATATATCATATATTATAAATTTCACATGTTATTCATGTATCATTAAAAATATAAAATAAATAATTTTATTAGATGATTTTATATTTTTCTATCCAAATACAAAAATTTTATACTTCTTAAATAATAAATCCAAAAATTATGTATTCTCTTTCAGTGTAACTTTCTTTAATATTAATATTCTTTTCCAAAATCTAAAAATCCATCAATGATACGCCTAATACAACAAGAGAAGGGAAATCAATTTCTGCCTATTGTTTTACATTTAATTTTCATTTTCTCTTTAATTAAACAAGGACGGATCAGAATCAAATCAAATCAACCAGCTCAATTAATCTCTCGACATGGGCCCACCGCAACGGCCAGGATTCCTTGATCAACTCCACAAATCTCAAATTCCCTAAATGCCCCCTATTCTTGAACAGGACAAAACCGGAATATCATAAAACCGCCAAGCCCTCTTTGTCATTTCACTGATTCCGAGTTCTCCCCTTCCTTCTCCTTCTTCCTCACACGGCGTTTACTTCCCACCGAGGTTTCCCCACACCGTTTCGCTCCTCCGCAAATCGGTACGTTCTTTCCTTTTTTTTTTTAAATAAAAATCTATATTCAAATCTGAATTCATTTTTTCTTGAATAAAAATTGATTTCTTTTTAATTTTCGTCTTTTTTCCCGTCATTTTCTTCAATCTCGTATACGTAGATGAAATTATTAAATTTCTCGTTGTTCTTTGTTTTTGATCTTTGGCGCTTTAGCTTTGTAATTGATTTGCCACTTCAATTCATTTCAATCGCGTTTTAATTGTTTCTTCGTTCGATGAAATTGTTGATTTAGTTTTCGTTTAAGTTAAATTTTCGTAATGATGAGATTTAGATATTAATGGACCGTTCTAGCTTAGATATCTTAAATTCTCAAGGTTAAATTTGTAGCTGCGAATCTCGCATTGAATGAAATCCATGTTTTAATTTTCAGATTGATTTGAACACTGAATTTTGATTATTCATTTTGTTGCAGGAATCGTTTACAGTCTGACTTTACTCTCCGAATCGTAAGACTGGTAATTTGAGATTAATCTGTTTCTATTGAGATTGGCTGTTTTTCTTTTTCTTTTTTCTTTTGGTGTTAATTCTGATTTATTATTTGTTACATAATTTTGTAGCCATTTTTGGTTGGTTACTTCTTATAAGAGATTTCAATTGTTGGCATGAATTATATGGAAATGTCACTTTGAAACTCATTGTCAATTTTGAGTTATAATTTTGATTATCTGAGACTCAGATCAGATACGCCCCCTCCCTTGCCTATTAACTTACCTTAAAAGGCAAAGTATGTTCATACAGAACATATCTCATGGTTGTAATTTTTTCTTTTGTTTCCACTTTAACAACAGCAACATTAACCAAACTAAGCTTTTTATTTCTACATGCATATGGGATTGGCTATACCATTTATGTTTCACCACTATACTTGTTCAAGATTATGGTCTCAGTGAGCTCAGTGAAAGTGAAGTTCATTTTTCTTTTAGTTTCTATCCGTGTCCTTGTTGCTCTCCTTTACTTCTCCTGACATTGATAACTTCTTTTAAATCAAGTCTTCTCACAGGGGTATTTCTAAATCTTTACATTTCCAACCCACCTTAATGTGTTTTTGCTGCCTCTATCTTTTCCTTTATACTTGCATTCCTAATTTTATCTCTACATGTCCAGGCATCTAATGTAGCATTCTCATCTCAGTCACACTGATTTGTTCTGTAACCAACATTCCGTCCTGTAAACGTTGTCAGTTTTATTTGTCTAGCAGAATTTTCCCCTATGTTTGAGTAGAATTTGTGTTTACACCATACTTTCAATGTATCTGGTAATATTTTTTTTTCTACATGTGCATTCGGTAACCAGGATATGTTTGCCTGCTTACACAGTCATCTAGAATTGATTCAAGCACTTGGTAAGCACGTGCAGTTTCCTTGTGTCTAGTTTTTTGGTAAAAGATGGTTAAATTAATAAAATAAAAACTCTTCAACGGTATGTAAACTATTCTTATTATTATCAAGCTTTTCTTTCTTTTTCTCCTATTTAATTGTAGATGCCAATTGAGCATGTGGTCGATATCAGTCTTGAAGCTATAAAATTGGTATCTGACATTATTCTTTGCCAATTCATTGTGGTCATGCTTTTTTTAAAATTTTTATGATTTAATGCAAATCTAATATTTCGCACAGTGGTTTAAAATGAATGAACTGTAGATTGTTGTATTGGCAGTAACTAACTCCAGCTGTGCTGAATTTGTGGAGTCTGTTTATAAATACTTCAAGGGGTGCAGTATGGAAGAAATTAAGTGTGCAGGGACAAATTTGACAGAAGTTTGAAATGCAAAAGAAAAAGAATAGTTAAATCAATTTTTTAACATATTAAAATGCAGACCGTCATTGGATTTTCTTTCAAGTGACAACAAGTCTACAAAGCCCAAGACTGGATCCTATATATAGTGTACTGAAATATAGTTTGTTGATGTTGGATGGATGGTTTAGCCATGATTTGTTGGATGTGTATAAATTGGCCATTCCTGCAACTTTTGAATTTTATTCAATCATTTTCAGGCATATGCTAATTTAGTTTATCACATATTGTAACTACTTGTTGAGTTTCTATAGGATTAAACATTATTTCCTTTGTTATTGGTAATTCCAAAATTGATGAACCATGGGTCAGCAGCATTTAGGTTCTGTTTGAAAGCAATTTTATACGTTTATTGATGACTTCCCCCAACAAAGTTTTCCTCCAGATTATGAATTTGTTCTCTTGACAATCTTTTCTGCTGCATTTGAGATTATGACCCAAATGAAAAACTACACATCAATGCACTGAGATTGTAACCCAAATGGAAATTTTTCATTTGTGTACTGACCTTTCCTCCCATAGATTATGCATTTTCCTCCGTTTCCTAAGATGCCGTTGCTGTTTTGGCGTGGGTTGCATTTGTGAATATATTGGATGTGAATTGGAGGTCTTGGGTTCTTTTTTTTTTTTTTTTTATGTTGCCAAATAGATAGAAGTTCTTTGAAATTAGAATAATAACTGATAGAAATTGTTTATCGCCTTCTTTGCAGGTACTCTTTTAGCAATATTCTAATATAACAACTGATACAGCGAATGGACCTGAAAATGGAGTTGAATAGCCTGAAAGATGCATTTGATCGTGTTGCAAAGAAGCAAAAGCTGTCCTGTTCTAAAACCCAGGAAGTTGTGGACCAGATTGTTCAAGAAATCAAGAAAGCAATAGAGATGGTGCAATCAACCACCCTTGATTATAAATCTGTACTTGCTGAGCTGAAGAAAAAGTTGCATGAAATTGCTCCACTCAGTCAGCTAGAAGGCACCCAGAAGGAACTGAACATAGCACTAAGCAAGTATCCGAAAGCTCTTGAGAAAGCCCTTAATCCTGATATATCCAAGGCTTATCGAAATATTGAGTTTGATTCCCATATAGTTAACCAGATAATTGCCAGCTATTTATATCGGCAAGGGCTGTTTGATGTTGGTGATTGTTTCATAAACGAGGTTGGGGATGCAGAAGTTGCTGCTGCTACGAGATCACTTTTTCAGGAAATGTATCAAATACTTGAAGCCATTAAGAGTAGGAACCTAGAGCCTGCCCTGAAATGGGCAGCTACAAACTCTGATAAACTGAAAGATAATGGTTCAGACCTTCTGCTGAGACTCCATCAACTGCAGTTTGTGAAAATACTTCAGAAGGGAAGAAGAGATGAAGCAATCAAGTACGCAAGAACTAACTTTGCTTCTTTTGCTGGAAACCATATGCCCGAAATCCAGAGGCTCATGGGGTGTCTCTTGTATTCTGATAGACTTAACGATTCCCCATATGCTCATTTATTATCACCAACCAATTGGGATGTAGTGGCTGAGGAGCTCACCAGGCAATTCTGCAGTCTTCTGGGGCAATCATATGAGAGCCCATTGAGTGTGACAATAGCAGCAGGAGTGCAAGGGTTGCCACCTCTTCTGAAGTTTATGACTGTTATGGCTGGGAAGAAGCAGGAATGGCAATCAATGAAGCAGTTGCCTGTGCCAGTGGAGTTGGATAAGGAGTTTCAATTTCATTCTATATTTGTGTGCCCAGTGTCGAAGGAGCAATCAACCGATGAAAACCCGCCAATGATGATGCCATGTGGTCATGTGCTCTGCAAACAGTCTATCAACAAGATGTCAAAGAATGGCTCAAAAACTTTCAAGTGCCCATACTGCCCATCTAATATCGATGCAACACAGTGCAGGCAGCTGAATTTCTGATGTATTCCCTAATATGCACATGGGTTGTACTAAAAACTGTTTCCTTTAGACTGAATCCAAAATGAGTAGAACTAGAAATTGGTGTGGTGTAGCCAATGTGGTGAGATGGTGGCAATGCTGGTCAGTAATGGTGTACTGTTTGTTGATGAACTCGTTGTAAATAGAAATTCTTTTCCACATTCATGCTGGTAATAGAAAAGCAACTTGCTTCTGCTCTAAAACTATAGTATATGGAATCTGGGAAGCTAGTTGAGGGCTTGGCTTGGCTCTCTACTCTAAAAGGCTATAGCCAGCATTTCAAATGGGCCTTAAGGTGAAGTGACTGAAATGCCGAAAAATTCTTTCGTATCAGCCTATGAACAGAACAAATAAATTACTATGACTTGAATTCGAACTCAAATCCATCTTACTCAATTCTTATAACTGTAAATGTTTATTATTTATTTTCATGATAATAAAATAAAATGTGGTCCTTAAATTGTTGGCATTGAATTATTTTTCTTATGACTTTCTATTCAAAATGAGTGAGAAATTCATTTTTTTTTCAACTTAAAAGTAATGCAATAAATATGTTTTAGAAAGTTCCACAAAAAAGTTCAAAAATGTTAAAAAAACAATAATTTATCACATCCAAGTATTTGGCTCAACTGATTGATGCATGATTTTATTGTCCAAAGAATATGATTCGAAATTCCTTTTCTTTTCAATAAAAAACTATCAAACTTTTAATTTATTTATAACTTATGTTAGTGTAAGTGATTGTATAATTTTAAAAATAAAATTTTTATCTAAATAATAGAATTCATCCTTTTATACAAAAAAAAAAATCGTAGAACAAAAATAAAACAATGGATTACATTTATTAAAATTTAAACGTTAAATTGATTAAATATTATTTTTAAAAATTATTATATAAATTAATTAAATTACATTATAAATTCAAAATTCATTAAAATTTCAGCCATCTCAAACCTTTAATTCAAGGTCATATTCAATTCAAGCAATGGGAATCATGGAAAAGATCACAACTCAAAATAAATGGGGCTTTTATCAAAAATCACCTGTCAAATTTATGGATATAATTATGTTATTGAGAAAACGGTAGGCCGTCGTAATCTTGATTTTTACGAGGAAGAACACTTTATCCTTTTCTATACCTTATTATGACAGCTAGGTGAGTTGTCCTCTTCTTTTTTGTTTCCTTCGAATTGTTGAAGTTTCTTTTTTATGCACTCTCTGTTTTTTTAGGTTGTACGAAGCTTTATGGCCACACACAATGTAGGCAACTTCTCTTTCTCTTGTAGAAGTACATATGAAATTGAGTGTGGATGCATAATGGTGAAAAAAATCAAAAATTTTAAAAATTAATTTAAAATTATAATATTTGATTTAATTTAAATCAGATTAATTTTTTTATTCGATTCAAATTAAATTTAAATATTAAATATATATATTAAGTTTGAATTAAATTTCAGATCAAGAGATAAAAAATTAAAAAAAAATTTAACTGTATCAAATTATATATTTTTTTAAATTTTTATATATTTTTTAAATTTTTATAAAATAAAAATAATAATTTTATATCAAAATCTACTAAAATTATTAAAATATTATATTAAAATAATATATCAAAATTTAAAAAATTAAAAATTGATAAACCAAAGCGAATCAATCAAATTCGATTTGATTCAATTTAGTTCGAATAAAAGTTCAATTCAAATTCGGATTTGATTGAATTTTAAATTTTTATAATATTATATAATATCCAAAAAATTCAAATCAAACCGAACCGTTATCACTCATAGCAATACATGCACCTTTTCCTATATTTTATACTCATATTTTATACATCATCTCCACTTTCATGCTGATTTTTATCCTAACTTTTTTTAGTAATGAGTTACTAATCCTTCCTGTTAATTCACTATATATCTTAATTTGAATTATGTTATATTTTAAACTCGAGATTCAATTTAATTTATTCATACAATTATTTTAAAAATTAGGTGATATAGTGTTTTTAAAACTCAAATTTCAGTAACTACAATCTTTTTTCTTATTTTCATATTACAATTACTTTTCAGCTATGGGTCCAAATTTTTTTAGAAGTTAGGTAATATAGTATATTTAGAATTCAAATTTCAGTAACTATAATTTTTTTTTATTTTCATATTACAATTCTTTTTTAGTGATGGATTTAGATTATTTTCGAGTTGTCTATTGATAATATATATTAAAATATCTATATATATATATAAAGTTGCATCAAATTTATTAATTTTATAAATAAAAAAAATGTTCAAAGAAAAATTTTGGAAGTATTCAAAGAATTTTTTTTTTTTTTTAATCTTTAGAGGTATCTATGAACATCTTACTTTCCCATTTAGATATTTTTGTATGCTTCCTTTGTATCAAAATATATTATACTTTGGTCCACAATCGAATTTTTCTTGTTTGCCAATTAATTAATTTCACATTCTCTTTTATACATCTCCAAGCATTTAGAATGCTTTTTGATTAGTGATTAGTGTAATTTGCATGATTGAGCTCTCTTGTCTGGGCACTAAGAGAGCAAATCTTTCTAGTGCGGCACATATTAAAAAGGGTTAAAATAAAATCATCATTGATTCTTATTCTTTTCTAGACTTTTGTATTCATTGTACAAACATCAATCCCCAAAATGCCTAATGAATTACGCCATAGAATTGAAAACCCACTTTGGAAATATATAGTAGCAGCAATGAAACAAATATTTTTTTTAATTTTTTATTAGGATTTAGAGTTTAGCAAAACTATTAATTTATTAATATATAATTATTTATTAATTTTATAAATATTAAATAATTTAAAATTTTTATTAATATAATTTTTAATAATTATCTTGTTTTATTATAATTCACCTCGTCATAATTTTTATATCCAAACATTTATATAAACACGGAATTTTCTAATCAATCAATCCAAAACCCATTTGGCATTTTCCCATTACCAAAACCCAATTCACAGCTCACACATAAAAACACTACAAAGAAAAGAACCTATTACCCATGACCCAACTAGGGCTGTAAACGAGCCGAGCCGAGCCGAGTAGTGAGAGGCTCGAGCTCGAGCTCGACTCACAACTCGGGGCTCGATACTCGACTCGAGCTCGATCGAGTTTTATTTTTCAAGCTCGAGCTCGATTCGTGATCGAATTCGAGCTACTCGAGCTCGCTCAATTAAGCTCGATTAATATGTAAAAATAAGCTCGATTCGTATACTCGACAAAAATTCGATTATTCATGCTCGAACTCGAACTCGAACTCGGACTCGAAATATTTTATTAATTAAAATAATAAAAATATATTTAAATATAAAAGCTCGATTAGGCTCGCGAGCTACTCGAGTCAGATATAATAATACTCGAATTCGGTTCGATCGATAAATCGAGCTACTCGAGCTCGAGCTCGACTCGACAATAATCGAACCGAATTCGAGTTTTTTTCGAATCGAACCCGAGTAGCTTGCGAGTACTAATGTATCATTTACACCCCTAGACCCAACGCATCATTTTGCAGCTACATTACCAAAATTTTAAACATTATTTTGATTTGACCTACCAACCAACTAATTATACATTTCCAAATATTAAAAAAAAAAAAAAGGGAAAAAAGTAACCGAAACTTCTGCTTTTTCACCTTACATTCCAATTTTTAATATATTTTCAATTCTTTCTTAAAATTTTATTTTATAACTAAAAGAAATTGAGAATAAATAAAGACAAAAGGAAAGAGAGAGCTTGTAGGGTTCACTTCCATCTCACTGTCTCCTCCTTTTCTGTGCAGAAAGGGCCTAGCCATCGGGTACTCATTGTCCTCTTTATCAATCGCTTTGGCTTTGGCCCCATTTTAAATCATAAAAATAAAAATATTTTCCCTTCAATTTTTTTTTTTTTTTATAAATTTACATACTACTAATTGTTTTGCGTTACAAAATAGGCGGATAAAAATATTAAAAAAAAAGAAACTAAAATCTGGCATTTTCAAATCCATGCAAATCGCTAACTCTATTCATATGCTTCTTCATAATCGCCACTTTAGCCAATCTCTCCGCGGCTCTCCAAGCCGACGTCGGCGTTAACGGCTCAGCCTTTTCCTCCACCTTACCATTATGATTATTAACATTGCTATTTAACTTTTGTCTCTGGCGCTGCTGGTTCAACTCTATTAACTCGGTTTCCAACCCGCGAATGAATTCCTCAGCCGAACTCGAACAGGATTGCATCAACAAAGCTCGAGCTGAGGTAAGCAAATGGTGCGCCCCCGATAAATCGTTCCGCTCAATCAACCGACGAGACTCCGCCACTGCACGCGTGCTGGTGTGGAGGTTCCTCAACCGTCGGATGGTGTGAGAGGAGGACCGTAGTGGCGGCCGAGGTATTAACAGGCTTTGATCCCTCGAGTAGACCATCTCCTGAGAAAATGGATCTCGGAAAGAGGACCGAACGTACATCACCCTGTGGGACCCAATCGAAGATACGGGTGCTTTCAATTCCAATAATAATTCTCTCTCCTCGTCGGAGTGCAAATCCCCGACCCGCACCAAATTCGACCCGACTAAAGCTGGTGGGGTCGTCAATGAATAGACCGATGAAATCTCGGCTGGGGCTGACCCGGATTCGAATCCCAGTTGGAGCCTGACATCCAGAACCACCACGCCTAAAAGACCATTCAAGATTTTACATAACGCGTCGTCATTTGGAGCGTGAGTGCACATACCGATACCGATGGAGTGCACGGATAACTCTGAATGTGCCAGGCGAGTGGTTGAAACAAGTGGAAGGTTCTGATAGGTGGAATTCGTTTGAGACTGTTTATCCTGACCGGCGTGCAAGATCAGGATGCTGGCAACGGCGTTTTTCTCTCTACGATCTTCCAAAACTTTGGCTGCCTTTTTAACCGCGTCGTTGACACTCATTCCTTGCCCGTTACTCCCCAGCGCGTCAACAATCCTTCTTGCGGATCTCCGTCCGTTGGAACTCATCCTTTTCAACGGTAACAACCGTTTCGAAGTCGACGAAAAAACCACGATCGATAAACGGTCCGTTTCGTTAAGCAAAGAGATAACCAACCTCATTGCCCGTTTCACCATCTGCGATCGCATCCCACTCTCGCTAACATCCAAAACCGTAACCAAATCAATCGGAGCCCTCTTCACCCCATGCGTAGCGGTTGGCGCGTGCACTTTCATAACCACCACGTAACTTCCATAACTCCTCCCAACTGCCACCACCGCCGCCTCTTGTGACAACCTAACCTCCACATTTCTTGCATTAACTCCAATCTCTTTCCCAATCTTCGGAGTAACAAAAAACCCTTGGAATTCCTCTTCTACGTCGTCGTTTTCAGTTTCTTCGGATTCTGGAATGGAATTAAACAGAGAAAGAGAAAAAGGGGAGGCCAATGGTTCATCGTCGTTATAGACCCGAAACGGCTTTGTTTTGGTGTTTTTGAGAGATGTTATATTAGTTTGTTCGGGTTGTTGAAGGAAGAGTAAATGGAGCTCTTTCAAGGTGGTGGAACAGACGGGGCAAATTAGTAATTGTTGCTTTTCGGAATGGGCGGCGATGCAAGGAAAATGAAAGGAATGGGAACACTCTGCCGTGAAAATCGCCGTACCTTGGCCTGTTTTCACGCTCTGTAAACAGATTCCACATCGACCACCCTGAAATAAGAATAACGAGATTACTATAAAGGACAATTTTGAATTAAAAAAAGACTTATAAAAGGAAATTATAAAAATTAAAAAAAAAAAAGGGAAAAAGAAAAGAATCTTACTTTGGAGAAGCGGAGAGTGGCTTTAAGGAGGGAGAAAGTGGAAGGGGATTTAGAGGAGGAAGGATTGGAGAAATGGGATGTTTTGCAATGGAGTTTGGGGCTATTGGGAAGTGAAGAATTTGGGGTGGAAGTGGTTCGGCAACGAAGACTTGGGCTTGAAACTGGTTGAGATTGTAACCTTGGCGTTGATGGGTTGGAGAAAAACCCAAACTTTGAGGTAAATCTTGGACTTCTGGTGCTGCTTTGCTGCTGTTGTTGTTGTTTTTCTGATAAAACTGAGCTGTCTTGTTTCTTGGGAATGGAAGTGCAAAAAGCTCTTCTCCAACCAGTCACCATTTTTAAAACACTCTCTTTAAGTTGAATCTTTTCTTCAGTGGAGGATTTTAGTTTACAAACAAGAATTTGGTTTGATAGAGAAGGAGAAGAAACGGATTGAGCATGGAAATGGAATTGTCACAAAAATTTAAGAGAGAAAAGATGAAGAGCGACAAAAGAAATGGATTAGATGGAGACGAGGGATCGAAGAAAGCACTATGCCTTTTTTTTTTTTTTTCTCTTTTCTCCCTTATAACTCTGTTTCCTTTTCTGGCTTTCTCTATAATGTTTGCTTCACTTTCGAAATCCACCCCACAAAAAGATAGCTGCTGCTATCAAAAGCCCTTATTGCTTGCTTGATGCCAAAATATGATTTTAAAAATCCTTCATTCCTCTTTCTCCCTCTCCTTAAAGACTTTCAGATAAGATAAAATGACTTGTATATATATACAGCTACAGTCATATATATATACACTACCATGCAATAAACGAAACAGAGCTGGCTCTTTAACGAAGTAGTGAATAATAATAATAATAAATGTACTAGTCTGACAAAGATAACTGGTAACTGGCAAGTGGAGGTTCATACTTCTTCCTTTACAGAACACTAAAAAAACAAGTCAACGGTTTGGCTTTTTCTTTGTCATGTAGTAGTGTCCTTGCTCAGTTCCTCAATTCTTATCCCACGTTACACTTCCATTTTTAGTCATACGAATGGACCTTTGCTTAAAACAGCATGTCTTAATTCACACTTTCGCCTTACTCTGCGCCAAATTTACCTCTTTTCTCAAACGGATTTTTACAGTTTCCTGTTTCTGAAATATATTCAATGAATCTTTTTCATTCTGGGTTTTGTTTCTTTTCTTGGGGTTCCAGGGTGGTGATGGTATGGTTTCAACTTTCGATCAATGCTTGTGTTAACAAATGAGGTTTGTGAGATCCTAACAGGTAAATCTGTGATCTTGTGTCTCACTTATGGTGGGTCCATTAAGGGATAGGGAATTGATGTTAAATGAATTGAGGGAAGGATTGGGATCTTCAAAGATATACTTGAAATACAACATCTATGGCTTTATTTTCTTCCATTGATGCATGGAGAAGTTGGAAAAAAAATTACAGATCATTGATGATGATTGACCATCACTTATTGCTTGCCTAATTGATAAAAGAATAACAGCCATTATCATTTTACGTTAAATATTTATTTGGCCTCAAAATATATTATTTTTTTCACTTGGTACTTTGAAAATAAAAATTCACAATCAAATACTTGAAAGTTGAATTTCATTTGCAAAATACACATTTTGACTAATGGAGTTATCAAATGCTGATGTGACAAATTTAAACAACACAAGCATGCTACATGTTATATTTTTTTATTTTTAATTTTTATATTTAAAAAATAAAAAAATATATAAATTTTAAATATTCATATAAAAATTCATAATTGAAAGTTTTTATTTTAACAAATAAAAATATATTTTTATTTTATCATTTAAAATAAAAACAAAAAATTTAAAAACTTAAAAATAAAATATAATTTTTTAAAATTTGCCTTTCTGAAATAGAAAATAAAAAATATAAAAAGGGTAAAAGGTTTAGAAGGAGAGAAATGAGGGAAGGAGGAGGAGGGTCGTCAATGTTGGCACTAGGCTAACCAGGAGGGCAATTTGGTCGATCCAAAGCAGGTCCAATTGCTCTACTTCGACTCAGCCAGATCCATCTTGGGATGACCCCCTTCCCCTTTCCTCCTCCCCCTGCTTCAAGCTAGTCAATACCGCCCTTCCTCTAACCTGCCCTCCTCTCTCCCCCCTTTCTTTCCTCGCTCCCTTCCTTTTTCATTTTCTCTTTCCTCTTCCTCTATTTTTTTTTTAATTTTTAATTTTTTAAATTCAAAACTAAAAATTCATATTTTAATTTTTTATCTTTATAAATTCTTTAAAAAAATTATTTTTATTTTTTTAAATTAAAAATGTGACAGTAAACCCTATAAATGACATGGCAACATATAATTGAACCTGAATGCCACATCATCAATCAAGTTAATGGTATTATATTTTGAGATCAAGTGCCTGACAAAAGATAACTATATATACCTAAATATGAATAAAATTTTTTAAATTTTTAAGAAAGGAAAATTCAGTCTTTAAGAAATTTTAAATTAAATTTAGAAGATTTAAAATGTTGAGATTATTAGTAACATTTATGAAATGAGAAAGAATGTGAGTTATAGAGTATAATTATTCCATTCAAAGTTGGTTAAATAAATTATGGACTGATGGCTATATCTTAAACATGAAATATTTGGATCTCACAATGATTAAGAATTTTGAAATATAAAATTTAAAAGTTTTAGATTTGAATAATGAAAATAAAATTATTAAATTCATGAAAAAAAATGTAAGAGACATTAGATAATGAGACTTGATTACATTCAAAATTAATATTAAGTGTTGTTGGTGAAATATTTTAACATAAGGATGATTTTGAATTTCAAAGTAGTTAAGGATTTTAAAATTCAATTTAAAACTTTTAGATTATTTTGAAAAGAATATTTAAAAATTTTTAGAGACATGATTTTAATTTTAAATCTTCCTTAAATCACAATAACATTAATTTCGACTGCACTATTTTTATGGAATATAAAAAATTACTTTTAATATAAAAAAAATAAGGGTAATTGATATAATATTTTAAGTTTGTCGATAAAATCTAAAAGTTTCATTTATATTAAATACTCCTTTTTTATTTTTTTTCATATTTTTTGAAATACCTTAAAATTATGTCATTTTTTTTAATATTTAAAATTTTTATTTTTTTATAATTTTTTTTACATTAAAAATTATGAATATTTAATTTTACAAAAAAATTTAAATTTTAACATTAAATATAATAAAATTAAATTTATTTTTAAAATTTCATAAAAATCAAGATAAATTATACGGAGTAAATTTTATTAGTAATTTTTATTATTTAAAAAATTAAAATTGAAAACCAGTGACGCTAACAGGTGTCATAATTGCAGGCAGGGCAGAATGGTACCTTTCAAGAGGAAAAACATGTGAGACAGTTAATTTGACAGTTGGCAGTGTTTTCGGACAGTCAATTATAACCGCAGCACTCACGTGCTGACACTGCAACTTCGTTATCCCCACCACCCATTCTCCAACAATTCGGCCATCAGCGAAACGTTAGTAAAATTTCTTCAATTTTTTTCACCTCCAAACTTGGACCCCACGTCAACTCACCGCAGAATTTCTTTGCCTCAAAGTTGGAATCAAAATCTGAGTGTCGTATTGAAAATTTGAAATTACTCAATGTTTTAACGGTAGTAATTATGAGTATAATTGAATCGAGTCGAATCGATACAGTAAGATATTTAAATTTGATTTTTAATTTATAATTTAATATTTGATTCGAATTTGATCGAATTTTATTTTTTTAATTCATTCGATTAAGTTTAAAAATATGTAAAAATAAGTTTGATTTTTATATTTGACAAGAGCTCGATTATTTGTGTTTGAGTTTGAACTCGAATTCAAAATATTTTATTAATTAAAATAATAAAAAATTTTAAATATAAAAGTTCGATTAAACTCGTGAGCTACTCAAGCTGAGTATAAGAATACTTAAAGTTAACTCGATCAATGAGTCGAATTACTCGAGCTCAAACTCGACTTGATAATAGTCGAACCAAATTTAAATTTTATTTGAATCGAACTCGAATAACTTACGAATATTAATGTATCATTTACACCTCTAATGATGACCATTGATTTTTTTTTCTTTTAAGATTACTCAACAAATACCTCTTAAAAGACATGTATAAACATACAAGTATTGTTTGTAAAATATTTTTGTGTCAAATTCAACTGTCGAATATATATGATTTTGAATATATGGAATAAATATTTTAATTTTAATAATAATTTTAACAACTCGTTCTTGTTAGGTATAAATGAATTTTATTATATTTATAATTTATTTGTTTAATAAATAAATTTTAAAAAATTGTTTATGATTATTTATTGTACATAATAAAAGAATATAGATTAATGAAAATTTAATTTATTTACAAACTATTTATCATTTTTAAGATTATTTTTTTAAAAGTTATAATTTCATTATGATATAATAATTAATTATTTAATTATATAAATATAATACGGGATTATATTTATAACTTAAAAAATTATTTTTCCTCTAATCTCATATTTAGTACTCAACTATCTTATTTCCAATAAATATAATTTTTATTGAGAAATAAAATTTTCTACTACACCTTTATTTGTTAAGTCAAATTTTTAGAGAGTCAAAATGGGAATCCATGTGGCACGTGGTTTTTGATAGTAAAAACTTATGTTTTTTATTTTTTTTAAATATAATTATAATCAAATAATATAATTATATAATTAATTAATTTTTATTAGTAATTTTTATTCTTTAAAAAATTAAATTTGAAAACCAGTGACGCTAACAGGTGTCCGAAACTGCAGGCAGGGAAGAATGGTACCTTTCCAGACGAAAAACATGTAAGACAGTTGATTTGACAGTCGGCAGTGTTTTCGGACAGTCAATTATAACCGCAGCACTCACCTGCTCACCCTTCTTCGTTATCCCCACCACCCATTATCCAACAATTCGGCCATCAGCGAAACGTTAGTAAAAATTCTTCAATTTTTTTTACCTCGAGCTTGGACCCCAAATCAAATCACCGCAGAATTTCTTTGCCTGAAAGTTGGAATCAAAATCTGAGTGTTGTATTGAAATTTTGAAATTATTCAATCTTTTAAATGTAGTGATTAAGTTTGTAATGGTCGAGATAAAGAAAAATTTTAGTTTGAGTTTAATTTTTAATTCGTAATTTAATATTCGGTTCGAATTCGATCGAATTTTATTTTTTTAATTTGAGTTTGATTCGTGATCGAATTTTAATTATTCGAACTCGTTCGATTAAGCTTAAAAATATGTAAAAATAAGTTCGATTTTTATATTCGATAAGAGTTTGATTATTTATGTTCGAGTTTCAGTTTGAATTCAAGATAT